GACAATGTCCTCCACAGGGCCGCCTATACTCACTATACATACTATCTACCTCATTCTTGTAAGAAAGGGATTTACGCTTTTGAGGTGTCTCACCAGACTGATGCTAGTCTACATTTTCATATACAGTATGACCTTCTGGTATTCTTGCTATGTGTTGGAAGGATTGGTTGCTGCCTGAGCAAGGGCCCCGTACTTATCTGTATTCATATGTCAGTAGGAGCTATAGCCTCATATTTTGAGACCAACTCCGCTTAAGATTTTTTTCCTAAATAGGGATGAGCTTGGTCCAAACCTGAGCGCCTCCAAACAAGGAAGAGCCATGGGTGCTTCCACTCAATCAGCTGCAGGCCTGGCATTCCCCAGCCTGCAGCTGCATGTAAACAGGGGTGGAATGCATTGATATAATTTCCTTATATGGCCACAATTGTAATTTACCAAATATAGGCATGTAGCCATGTAAGGTCAATGACATGACTGCATCCCACCCATTGTTTACAACAAGCTGGGGGCATGGAATTTCTCTCAAGCAGTTGATTGAGTGACATGGAAGGAGACTCCTCCCGTGATCAGGAGGAGCTCTTTCTGGGATCCAAGGAGCTCAGGTTTGGCCCAAACCTGAGCTCATATCTATTCCTAAATAGCTTCTTCCCCCCCCTTGTAAAAAGCGGTAAGAGTAAAAAGAGGTGGAGCAGCACTATTCACCCACTGCAAGCTCCAGTACTGACCTCTGCATTTTCTTCCACTGATGATCATCCTCTTCTAGTTTGAATCATTTCTAGCATCATCAAACCAGTTCCTGTGGTCACAGATCCCTGGGGGTGCGTCTTCATGCAGCCTGGGCTTACAGTAGAATGTTACCTCAAATGGTGTTCAGTCATCACTGCTCTGACTTATTCAGTTGTCTGTATAAATCTCAGCTTAAGCAACTCAGTCAACAGAGCAGCTAAGAACAAATAAGTACATATGTGAAAAGGAGTCTGGAGCTCCATCTGCTGACTAAACATGCAAACATAAAATCTTTAAAATATTTTTTACTAAAAAGTGTTTTAAAAGCCACATTTTGTAGTTTTTCTTGCACTATGGGCAATCAGGCCCTGCCCCATTTTCATTATTTTTCAGGTGGAGCTGATCTAGTTACTCAGGCTATTTATAGTGGTGGAATCCAACTTTGTAAATAGAGACAACCTCTAGTGGGGCCCCCAATATATCTGGAAGGACGCACAATAGCTTTGTAAATGTTCTGTTAGCAATTATTAGGATGCCATTAATAATATATTCAAAAAAAGTTTATTTTGTACAAACTGGAGCTCTAAAAGAATGCTATATTTTGGGACCTGAATATTAATGGGGAAACGGAACATCTTTTATAAACTGATTTACTTTATTAACCCCTTCGTGACGGTACACTGTACATCCCGGCACTTTGTGCCTATATGACTGGCCACGTACACTGTATGTGACGAGTTATATCAGGCTCTGTAATGCCGGTAACTGCTGATTCTCAGCGGTTACCAGTCATTAATGAATGTCTCCGTATTGAGGCATTCATTGATTAAATAGTTAAGCTTTTGTAAAAGCTTATTTCTTTCATTAATGTGAATGGAGCAGGCAGGTGGAGAGGCGAGGGCTGAGCACAGGGGAATGCACACTGAACAATGGCAGGCTGCGTATTGGGCACCAGGGATTTATAGTCTGAGATCAATTGCCTATAACTAGGACTGTGAAGTTTTTTTTTGCCATATAAAACCAGACTGACACCATTGAAAACCGTTTATTTAGTTTTGGTTGTTTTCAGAATTGAATATTTTGTTCATCGCCAGATCACATGACCTCAGTGTCAGGTAGCTCATTTTGTTTCTGTCTCAGTTGTATTAAAACGTCAATATACAATAAAAACAAGTAACAGATGTGTAACTGACCCACTTTGAAGTTTATTTAAGCATTTTTGTACATCATTCAGAATTTTGTCCAGTCAACACATCAAAGAAATATCCATGCCTAGATGAACAACATACAAGAAAATAAAGAGGCCTAAATATGGACACGGTTTTATTACCTAAAAATATATACCCCATATCAACTGCCAAGGTAGGTGGCATTTAGTATATGACATTCATTGAGAAAGAGCAAAAGTGTTTTTTATGATCATGCTTTAAAAAGTGGGCTTTACTAATTTATCATCTTAAAGGGACCCTGTCACAGCACTTACAAGGCCAAGTTCCTTTGCTGCATGCAGCCTTTGTCTAACTCCTAGGATACATTTTAATTCTAGGATAGTGATGTCACTTGCAAAGAAGCTCTCAAACTACATTTTATGGCCAAACGTTTGTGGTCACCTGACCATGACTTTTATGTGCGCGTCAGACATATCATTCAAAAACACAGCCATTAATACGGAGCTGACCCCCACTCCCCAATGGCAGCCTCCACTCCCCAATAACAGCCCCCACTCTCCAGGGAAGGAGTGTGTCTGTGGGAATTTGTTCACATTCAGGCAAAAAGAGCATTTGTGAGTTCAGATACCAATGTTGGATGAGAAGATCTGACTCACAGTGAGTATTCCCATTTATCCCAAAGGTGTTTAGTAGGGTTGAGGTCAGCGCCGTGTACAGGCCACTCATCCACACCAAACATGGACCTGGCTTTGTGCACAGTCACGCTGGAACAAAAATGGCCCTCCCCACATTGTTGCCACAAGGTTGGAGTCATACAATTGTCTAAAATGTCTATGTATACTTTAACAGCACCCTTTCCTGAAATCATCTGAACTCAATACTCTGGTGGGGTGTCCATATAGAGGGTAATGGTGAGGTGACTATAAACTCTTGGCCATATAATGTAGCATGTGATATAGGAGTCAGATAATGGCTGTTCCCAGCAGAGGGCATTAGCCTAGTCTCAGATATAATGCGGCATGGCGGGGGTCACATTAAAGAGCACCTGTAGCCTATATGTGAGGCTTAACCAAAACATATGGCAACTCGCCCTATTATTTACTTGAAGCCATGAATATAGGGCTTGTTTGAAGATACATTATCACCATTTGGCGAAATAAGTATATTTCATAGTTCATGCCACTTTTGTTGCTTCTCATACCTGTATATTTTTATAATAAAATATGTGCTTATTGGTTTCATTATTATGTCGGTATTAAAGGTACACTCCTGCCAAACATGAACATTTTCATTTTTACTCATTCAGAGAACACAGCCTACCTGCCATACATCTGCTCCACTCACTAAATAGCTATGGCTTCCATTTTCATAATTTTCTGAAAATACCCCAAAACCAAGCCTGTGAACATGGAGGCTGGCGTGTTGCTAGGTTCCATCACTCCCTTCTGTAGTCCTAAAGTGGTAGCTTACAAGGCAGGGGCATTGCAAGGTTGAAATTGACCTGCCACACCAGGTTGCTGGCTTGAGCCTTGGTGATTTACGTAGTCTTTCATAACAAAAGACTCTGGGGAACTGACAAATTACCCTTGCAGTGTTAAATGCTTGTTTTTGCATACGGCATAAAAACATTTGCTCCTTCTGCAGCTGGCCCTCTCCTCTTCTCTCTACAGCTCCAAGTTGTGGGTAGGTTCTTGCTATCCTCACTTACAATGTAGAACTGTTGGTCCTGCATTGTACGTAATGATGTCACAGCTCTGACCACCGGATAGAGTATTTGTGGGACCAGTAGCAAGGAAGGAGGAACTTGCGAAAGCGTGGCGTAGAGTAAGCAAAAAGTGTTTTCACTGGTACCCTAGGCAAAAATGAGCATTTAACACTTGCAGTGCATGGGGAGCCTCACTGCAAAGGTTAGTTTTATTCAGGTCCCCGAAGTTCAGCTTTAAACCCAGTATAACTGGAAATGCTTAATATAAACATTTGATTTGAGCCATCCAACAGTTTTCCAGTGTTATGAAAGCTACAATTCTAGGTCTTACCTGCAGTTCAAATGTGGTACAATCATAAAAATACCGATATGCTATAGGGTTCTCTAAGGGGAAAACTACAGGAAGTGGGTTACTAGAACTCAGGGCTTTCCATCTAAACTGGCAATTGTATTAACTTTGCTGCTTCTTGACAAGTGCTAGTCACTAGTGTTTATAAAACAACACCTCTTTACTCCATGAACACTAATCTCTACTGGGCTAAACTCTATCTTTCATGACAGCTACACGCTGGGCTCCTTACCCCATGATGCCTGGCAGTCGCTGTAATACAACCCTTCCGGCAGCAGTGTGCAAGGAAGCCCAATGATTCCCATTCTTGTTTTGTATATACCACTAATTCAGCAAACTGTCTTCATGTTTACCTTTGTAAAAAGCTCACAAACACAAGCACATTATCATAGAAATCCTGCAGTAAAAATATCAAAATTTGTTTATGCTAACAAAAACATTCATTATCAGGAAGATGAACCTTGCAACTAATCCCCGTTAACATTTTTACAGGCTATGTTGTGTATTAAATTACCCTCTGACAAATGAAGTAGGGAAGAAAGGAACATCAATTATTGCACAGTATAAAATCCATTCTGTGAAAGAGTTGGCTTTGGCCCCCTGTTTTTCAGTGAAAGGGAACGCAAGCAGATGATTGATATTATTTTAAGGACATCTGTTACTGGCAATGTTCCTGTGAGGTAAACCAATACCAGCCTTATAGCAGCACAATATTCTGACTGCAGTGGGAATCCACTTTTCACACCGACAAAGAGGAGAGTACGATACTGAAGCTGGTCATACTGCGGACATGGCGAGGGCCATTGAACGCCTTGTCATCTTGGCACACAGACACACACGTGCTTTATTCTATGGCTTTACACGATCTTCACAGCAAAACTTTATGCTGACAGCATTGCACAAGGTACAAACTACAGACTCATCGCAAGGTATTTTCAATGGCTGGAAGAGAAGCAAGGGAAAGTCACGGCTAGCCCAGCGCAGGTAATGGGTGAGTTTGGGCCTTTCCAGTGAGAGTTTCACCTTTTTACCACAGACGAGCTTGTTGGCGGCCCAGCTGTTCATCAGCTCTGGAGCACAGGAGATATTTGAAGGCAATGTTCCCCCGTAGAGGGGTTTACACAAGACTTCCAGGCCAAGAGATCACACTAAGGGTGACTTTGCTTCGTTGTTCCTTCAGCATCGGGACAAGAGCAGAATGACTCATTCCCACCGTGGATAAACCATTTACAGCAATAATCATATCTCCACATCTGTAAGCAGAAAGTTATACTTATTTTATTATACATATAAAGGAGCCATTGGATGGTTTAGTCAGGGATCCCAACCTGAAAAAGGCAATTTCAGGGAGGTGCCCTATTGCTGCCGTCAGAACAATAATTTAAAAAAAAAACAAACAGCATAGGAATGAATAGGTAGATTGCTATTGGCTGTTTCAATTTGCAAAATCCAATAGCGAGCTGGCTATTTCACCCGCCCTCTGCTGCTGTCAATCACTAGAAGAGGACCTGATGGAGAACTTCAAGTCCCCCTCTGCTGATTGACAGCAGCAGTGGGCATGTGCAATAGCTAGTCTGCTATTGGCTATTGCAAAGCAAAATAGCCAATAGCAATCTAGCTATGCATTCCTATGCTGTTTTTTTTCTCCTCTGACTGATGGCGGCCCCGATGTCAGAAAAAAACCCCCAAAAAAACCCAAACAGATCCCAGGGAAAGGTTTACTCTGCTATATATAGCAGAGTAAACCTTTCCGGGAGAAAATGTGTCTCTCCCGGGCGGCCGGGAGCCGCTATCTAATAGCGGGAGACTCCCGGAGAGTTTGTAAATGGCAGCACGCATATGTTTAACACTGTAATTGCGCGGTACAATCAATTAAACATTGTACTGAATGAATCCTGCATACAGAGCAATGCAAAAGTATTCACCCCCTTGGTGGTTTTCCTGTTTTATTGCATTAAAAACCTTGAATCAAAATGGATTATTAGGGGTTTGTACCAGGTGATGTACACTACATACCTAACACTTCGGAGGTGCAAAATAATTTTTATTGTGACAAACAATTATTAAAGGGTTATTAAACCCTCCGTTTTTTTTGCATAAATCTGCTGCTAGCAAGCAGTAGATATATGCAAAAAGTTTTAAAAAAACCCAAAACGCTTTGAAAAGGGTTAATGCTTACCTGTGTCTTCCCCGCGCTCTCCCGTCCGAAAATGTGAAAATTCTCGAGTGGCTGAAAAGCATCTTGGGGCGGGCGCATGCGCAGTTCACATCTTCAGCCGGGACGCGAGGAGAGACACAAGGTAAGTCTATGGACGCGTGCACCCGCATGCTGACACCATGGGACAGGAAGTACCAGCAAGCTCAGAGGATTTAGCGCTGGATCGGAGACCCACCGCAGCGCTGGAGTGACAGATGAAAAGGACAAGAAAGAAGATCGGATTAAGAAACATAATTTAAGGCAAGTGCTTTAATTAACATTGGGGGGAGGGAAAAAGATTTTTGACTTTAATGTCACTTTTAGATTTAAAAAAACTGAAACACCACCTTTGCTATGAAACCCTATACTAGATGTGGACCAACCAATCAGCTTTAGGAGTCCCATAATTAGTTGATTAAGGTCCACTGGAGTGCAAACAAAGTGTCATTTGATTTGTCCCATGATGTTAGTATAAATACACCTATTCTCAAAGGCTCCCGAGTCTTTAACACCAGTAAGCAAACAACACAAAGATGAAGAAGATCTCTATACTGGTCAGAGACAAAGATTGTGGAAAAGTATAGATCAGGGCTGGGTTATTTAAAAAATAAACAAAACAAACTTTAAACATCCCATGGAGCGCCAATAAATTCAATATAACAAAATGGATAGAATATGGCACTGCTACAAACCTAACAAGACAAGGCATCAAAAATCAAAACTGGCCAAGAAGGACATTAACAAGGGGGACATAAAATAAAAACCCCAAAGAGAACACTGAAGGAGCTGCAAAGATCCACAGCTGATATGTGAGTATCAGTCCATAGGAACACTTTAAGCTGCAGATTCAAAGAGTGAAGCCTAATGGAAGAGTGGCCAGAAAAAATAGGATTTTGGTACTCACCGTAAAATCCTTTTCTCTCCGTTCATTACTAGCAGCATGTGGCGGACTCCCCAAATACATGGAAAAAGGTACTCTGGTACGTAAGACTAAAATTGCAATTTCTGGGCATCATGGGAAACCCTATGTGTGGCACAAACCCAACAGGTATCATCCCCCTGAACACTATCCCCCTGGTGATGGCAGCATCATGCTGCAACAATGCTTTTCATCAGAAAGACCTGGGACAACTGGTTGAGATTGATGGAAAAATGGTTGGCACTAAATACAAGGCAAATTTGAAAGAAAACCTGTTTCAGTCTGCCAAAGATTTGAGACTTGTATGGAGGTTCAGCATCCAGCAGGACAATGACCCTAAACATACTGCTAAAGTTACATTGAAGTGGTTTAAAGGGAAATAATTAAATGTCTTGGAATGGCCTAGTCAAAGCCTAAACCTCAATCCAATTGAGAATCTGTGGTATGACGTGAAGATAGCTGCACACCAATGCAAACCATCTAACTTGAAGGAGCTGGAGCAGTTTTGCCTTGAAGAATGGGCAAAAGTCCCAGTGGCTAGATGTACTTAGCCAATAGAGACATACCCCAAGAGATTTGCAGCTGTAATTGCAGCAAATTATGAATCTATAAAATATTGACGTTTAGGGGGGTGAATATTTACGTACACTCAATCTTTCTGGGTTTTTTTGTCACTTATATGTTGTTTGTGTCACAATAATAATTATTGTACTATGAAGTGCACACTGGGCAAACCTTGTAAATAAAGTTCATACTTAGAGATGCAAGAAATGGTTGTCCACATACATGCCCCAAATAGAAAAAGCATGTACTGGAGAGACAGCAAACTATAAGTACAACTTATATAGAGCAAGATAAATTCACAAGATTTACAGCTATATACAAAACATTTATAGGAGGTGACTAAAACTGAAAAGAATAATGAAACATTATTTATTGTATCTACAAAAGCTGGAAATCTGCAACTGTTTCAGCAAAACAAATGATTGTTTCTAGATTGATGCCTGGGACTCACTTTAGTCGTCCATCATAATACGCTGGCGTCCCAAGCACGATAGTTTTAATAAAGAAAGGCTGGTTTGTGTGATTTTCCTCGTAACCACCAACTATGCTGAAGCCCCAACTCCCCATATTGCTCCTCCGCAGCACAACATCATGGCAGCGATGGAGACAGCTAAAAAGGAGACATAATTAGGCAGTTATAATCATCAGTGACATTTCACTAACTACTCAGTACTTATCATCAGCAGCTCATATTTATGCACAAGTAACATTTCAGGTACCAAATACTTCACATCCAATAATACCTTATGGGAATAGCTACAGTCAGGTTGGCAAGGTTAAAAAAAAAAAAAAAGATCATTTTGAAGAACTGTAAGAAGACAGCAAATGTTAAAATCTCATTTAAATATAGTCACTTTAAAACTGCTGCACTTGTTTTAAAAATCTGCCGCATGCAACTGCCTGTAATCCTTAACATGACTCTGTCAGAGTAAAGAAAAATCCAAAAGCAAAGTCCATGCAGTACAACAGCTCTTACACTGAGCTCTTCAGCAGCATGTATCCTGACCTCTGCTCCATTCCAGGGCTGCAGCCTCCGTCAGGCGGCTCTTCAGTAGCGGCATTGCGGGAGTGTCGGAAGTCCGTATCCTCCGCCACAAGCTGTGGTTCAATCCCACTCCTATATCACTGCTGTGTCCTGTAGTGACATAGGGGTTGGTGGATTGAACCACAACTTGTGTCGGGGGACACAGGCATCAGAGAATCCCAGAAATGTCAAATGCTCAAAAGCCTAATCGATGATGTACCCCCGGAATGCAGTACAGGTAAAGACATATACTGCTGCTCAACCGCTCTCCTATTTCAGCGGTCTTCCTTCACAATTTTTTTTTAGTCTGACAGGGTAACTTTAAGAGAGGTTTCAAAAAAGTTCAGTAGTACCTTTACTTTGAACCCCATGCACACCATCTGAAATTTCAGATCATGACTATAGGGGAGAGGGCTGGATTTCTGCATAGCCAACACTGGCCAGCAGTGCTGTCAGGGGGAGCACGCAGCCACTCATCCATCATGTTGCTGACTCTCAATAAAACAAATTTCGGTGTTAGCTGCAGTCCAGCTCCTGGGTTTGTTAACCTACTATTGAGAGCTCATTAAAAATGCTCTATAGCAGTGTACCCAAACAAAATGCTTTGGCACTTTATTTAAAGGGTGCGGCGCCATTATGTTTTGACAGGGTAGAGCTGATAATAACCAACAATAGAGCTAGAGTCTTCATGAAGAAAACATCTTATTCATACCATCCTAAGGTAATATACAGCCCTTTGGACTTGGCAGGCTGCACTTGAGGACCCCCATATTTGCCAGGTTTGGTAAAACTGGTCTACATGTTTTATTCAAGGAAACCAGTGCTCAGATAACCTGTTACTGGTTATATGTAACCCCATAACAGCTTTCCCATCGCTAGGATGCAAACTGGAAACATTTAGCCTCTTCAATAACTTCAAAATCAATGCTCACCAATCAGAGGCCCTGAACATTTCACTCCCAAGCAGAGAACACGTATACCTACAGACAGCATTGTCCTTCTGCTGGACATGCCTATCTATGAAACATTTAGGCACACACATCTTGGCTAACTCGAAGAGATGTACACAATGAACTACTTTCCCTTACTTCGGAATGCCTAACAGTGTGAACAGCATTGGTCCAAATTTACCCATTGCTGTCTGGGTAGAATGTCTTTGCTCCTTTATTTGTTTCAAACATCCCCATAGGGGTACCCTGTCTCTTCTTTCGATCTCTTTAAGCAGTTTTAGTTATTATGATACATCTGGAACCACAAGTTACCGCGACTGTGACATGACATGCTAGTAAAGGCAAAAACAGGAGTGGGTATGGGTCTACCCTATATGGAATTTTATCACAAAGCTTCGATCCTAAGACACATCATCAACTGGTTATCATTTAGCCAACACAAATTGTGGGTCTCACTAGAACAAACATTCAAAAACATCCCCCTTACTTACACCATAGATCAAGCTCTTCAATCCCTACTCTTAGCAGGAAGAGTTCTAATATACAGGCACTAGAGGTCGAGGGCAACCCCCTCAAATAAAAAAATGGGTAGCAGAAGTGAACTGCTTAAAGGAGAACTATGGGGTCAGTGTTTTTCCCCATAGTTCTCCTAAGGGTCACGGGAGGAAATATACTAGCGTCCTCCCGTGACCCAAAGCTCAGTATATCGCAAGCTACAGTTTGCGGTATACTGAGACCGCCACATAGTTCTCCTTTAATGTGTCTGGAGAAACTCAGGGCTCAAGTACATAGAAGATACTTAAAGTGTATCAAAACCTGAAGTGTATGGATTGCCTTCATCATTTCCATACAGCTATGCACTTTTTGGAAATAAGGACTTACTCTCAGGCTATGATTTTTATGAACAGGACCTTATACGCAGGCTGTGCCCAATCCTGCCGGGCGTCTTCCTTGCCTTACGCCTGCTCTCATACCTTTTACCCCTTCTCTTTTCTCCGACTCTCCTCTGTCCTCTATAATCTGTCTATATTTAATTTAGACCTGGTAGGTGCAGGTAGTGCCTAAATCTCTCAGTCTCCTTGGTCATAAGGTCCACACTAAGCCGATACTGGAGATCTTTCATGTAATATACTTGTTTGTATCTCCCTGTGCATGCATATAAAATATCATGAAATGTGATCTCAAAACATGTAACTGTCCAATCTGTGTCCTTTGTGTTGATTAAAATATCTAATTTGATTTAAAAGACTGCGCAGCGCTCCTGGCACCTCTCTACTCACTTTCTTTGCACTTTGTTTACTACTGTAAAACCTGAATGAAAAGATAGTATATAAAGAAAAGGAAGCCAGTGCTGAAATATAGAGGCTGCCTTTGTGGATGTCCTCCTAAAGATGCTAGTTCCTCTGCTCCCCTGACAATTTATTGGCTTCAATACCCTTTGATTCATTTACCAAAAAATGTATGTAGAAGTTCTGACTTCACTTGATGCATACTTGTTCCAAGTTAGCAAGTCAAAAGAGTGAAATAGTCACCGAATCAGCACAACAGTCCGACAACCAGTATGATCAGACGACACAATGGCAGGGGCGGACTGACAATACATGGGGCCCCCGGGCAATACGAGATTATGGGGCCCCTTGTGCTCCACACATATATAGTGGTACAGTAGAAAGGCATCATGGCACACTCACAAACCAGCATGTAAAACAACTTGTCTCACCACTAAGGACAATGACAGAGGTTTGGATACACGTCTTCTGCAAAGGATGTGTAAGCCGCACTGCCGCGCCAAGGCACCTCTTATAGTGCGGTCCTAACTCTAAACTATGAGAGTCTCCATCTTGGAGCACATGGGGGCAGAAGATATCAAATTGGGTGCAGGCCCCACCCACATATACATTCTTGTGTTGCAGAAATTATCTCTCCACACGGTTTTCAAAAAAGCAGGTCTATTCACAGAAAAGTGAAGTGCGGGGGAATTGGTAGGAGACGTTCAAAATCTAGAACAATATAAGTGATTTGAAAAGTGAGCTAAATGGCAGAATTTTTCTGGTTTGGCTATTTTGACCGAGATTCTTTAATTCTGCCAATTATCCTGGGTGAATTGCAGGAGAATTAGTAGGAAAATTGGCAGGGTAACTGAATAATCTACGACTGGAGCGGAGGTTTGGGCACATATTGCATGTGCAGAAAGCTTCAGCGCATGCAGTAAAGCCCCCAAATGGTCAGTCTGCCTAAGACCAGAACCAATGCATGGCAAAACTCATACCAGAACCAATGCAAGGCAGACCGCAGATCAGAACTAATGCAAGGCAGACCACAGCCCAGAAACAATGCATCGCAAAACTCAGACCAGAACCAATGCAGGCCAGATCGTAGACCAGAACCAATGCAAGGCAGACCACAGACCACCACCAATGCATGGCAGACCACAGACCACCACCAATGCATGGCAGACCACAGACTAAGCAGTTAGAATGACAAATACACAATATAATTTCCAGGATCAGCCATCACACACACACACATACATACGCACTCTGATCCCTGTGGAACGTCATGGAACGTCACCTGCACACACATTAATGGGCAGCTCCTTCCATGCCAGAACACGGGCAAGCCCTTACCTTCAGCAGGTCCAGTGGATGGGTGCAGTAGGTTGCCCCGGAAGAGGCCAGGTCCTTGAAGTACCAGAGTGACACCCGTCATTCCACTATCTCTTCTCACCTGGATCTGTGAGGGCTGGACAGTCTAAAAGCCAGGGCCGAACGAGGGAGCCGGGGCCAATTGGCAAGCAGTTTAAGCAGGGCTGGTGTAAAGATGCAGCCTGAGGGTGCAGGCAGAAAAATTTAGATTTGCCTGTGTAGGCAAAAATGCATGCACCAGCCCAGTGGAGAATACGTGTCATGCATGGCTCAGTGAATTGTTCACAGTGAATTGTTCACAGCGCTACTTTCACTCGCCCTACATCTTTGGGTACATTTGTCAGTCTGAGGCTAGGTTCGCACCTAAGCGACACCTCACCGGGTGGCAATCGCACACGATTCTGTGCGGATTGCTGCGTGGTTAGGAGTCGCCTAGGTGTGAACCGATTGCGCTGTGGGTACCATTATTTTCTAATGACACCCCAGTCGCAGGCCAGATTGCACGGTTTCCTGCTGTGATTCCGCTCATTCCGAAAACGATCATGAAACTAAAACAGCCGCGCATCATGAAAAAAAAAGGCACACGTACCTTTTATCTGCAATTGCTGCGCGGATGTCACAACTTTGAAATTAAAAGCAATTCGCTGCCTGCATTGTACAGGACTGCGCAATCCTAGGACACGCGTCCCGGGTGTCGTGCGGTGTAGTGTATGTGGGAACCTAGCCTCAAGCGGTCACTGTCCCTTGATGTATATATGTAGTGTTGTTGTTGATGTGTCACCTGCACTCCTTACAGCGATTAGACCTGGATAAATGATTGTGGTGCTCGTAGTGATTGCACGGATGGCACCGTGTATTCCAAAATCGTAGAAGATAGAGATCACCAGCACTCATTTGTCCTATGACATGCATTCAGACACACATGATGCTTTCCCCCCTATAGGCATTTTACATACTACACATAGCGTGGATGTATGCAAAGCAAGGCGATATGACAGGTAGTCTGCTTTTCTTGCTTGCATGCTAACGGATGATATGATGTATTGTACATAATTTGTTATATTTTATCATGAAATGACATTTGTGATCTTTTTATTCGCCATTGTATACAGTCATCTACCTTGCTCATGCCAGAACACGGGCAAGCCCTTACCTTCAGCAGGTCCAGTGGGTGGGTGCAGTAGGTTGCCCCGGAGGAGGCCAGGTCCTTGAAGTACCAGAGTGACACCCGTCATTCCACTATCTCTTCTCACCTGGATCTGTGAGGGCTGGACAGTCTAAAAGCCAGGGCCGAACGAGGGAGCCGGGGCCAATTGGCAAGCAGTTTAAGCAGGGCTGGTGTAAAGATGCAGCCTGAGGGTGCAGGCAGAAAAATTTAGATTTGCCTGTGTAGGCAAAAATGCATGCACCAGCCCAGTGGAGAATACGTGTCATGCATGGCTCAGTGAATTGTTCACAGTGAATTGTTCACAGCGCTACTTTCACTCGCCCTACATCTTTGGGTACATTTGTCAGTCTGAGGCTAGGTTCGCACCTAAGCGACACCTCACCGGGTGGCAATCGCACACGATTCTGTGCGGATTGCTGCGTGGTTAGGAGTCGCCTAGGTGTGAACCGATTGCGCTGTGGGTACCATTATTTTCTAATGACACCCCAGTCGCAGGCCAGATTGCACGGTTTCCTGCTGTGATTCCGCCCATGCTTCCGAAAACGATTATGAAACTAAAACAGCCGCGCATCATGAAAAAAAAAGGCACATGTACCTTTTATCTGCAATTGCTGCGCGGATGTCACAACTTTGAAATTAAAAGCAATTCGCTGCCTGCATTGTACAGGACTGCGCAATCCTAGGACACGCGTCCCGGGTGTCGTGCGGTGTAGTGTATGTGGGAACCTAGCCTCAAGCGGTCACTGTCCCTTGATGTATATATGTAGTGTTGTTGTTGATGTGTCACCTGCACTCCTTACAGCGATTAGACCTGGATACATGATTGTGGTGCTGGTAGTGATTGCACGGATGGCACCGTGTATTCCAAAATCGTAGAAGATAGAGATCACCAGCACTCATTTGTCCTATGACATGCATTCAGACACACATGATGCTTTCCCCCCTATAGGCATTTTACATACTACACATAGCGTGGATGTATGCAAAGCAAGGCGATATGACAGGTAGTCTGCTTTTCTTGCTTGCATGCTAACGGATGATATGATGTATTGTACATAATTTGTTATATTTTATCATGAAATGACATTTGTGATCTTTTTATTCGCCATTGTATACAGTCATCTACCTTGCTCTGCCTTTATATATTGTGGTTTTGCCCTACTGTTCTTTGCTGTTTGTTCATCTCTCCTTGACATTCAAAGCCCTTTCCCCTCTCTCTCCCCTTCACTCCTTTTAGTTCTTCTCCTGCTGCTCGGCTTATCTAAGTTTGTTTATTGTTCCTCCTACAAGGAGCCCCCCTTCTCCTTACACGGAACATAAAAAAATGAGTGCTGGTGATCTCCATCTTTCCCCCATGTACAGTAAACATACACCTTCCATCCCTGCACCGATCTGATACAACACACCATTTCAGCCATGTGTGTGCAGGACAGATCGAAGAACCTAATCATGCAGCGCGCCAGACAATCCAGGAGCTGAACCGAGGGAGCAGCAGCCAATCGAAGAGCAGCTAAAGACAGGCCCTGCCCAGCCGCCACTGTCATACTATCAGGCTGTACTGTGTTAAAGTGGCAGCGGCAGGGTCTGGTGGGCCCAGAAAATAAATATGCTGATTGCAGGCTGGAAAACGGCGAAAAGGAACAGGGGTCGGTGACGGGCCCCTTTGTGGCCGCGGGCCCTCGGGCAGTGCCCGACGGACCGAATGGTCAGTCCGCCTCTGCACAATGGTAACCCCAAGCACAAGTTTTCTTTAATAGCATGTCTGACAAGTACTGGAGAGGGGGAGGCACTGAGGCTATCATAAAAGAATATGGAAGCTGCCAGTGTTCGCTTTTTCCTAGCTGTCATGCTCGTCTGATAGCGTCACTGCTTAGTAAGTCACTAACATGATACAAGCATGCAGTCAGTTAAGTAAAAGTAATAAGTCCTGACCTGCATGACTTCTCTGCGTCAGCGACTCACTAAGTGGTGAAACAACAGGATGAAAATAAGAGTCAAGGGACAAGTAAAGCTCTCATACTTCTATCATGACAAGAAATGTAGAGCAACTTTTTAAAAAATTGCTGTGGGTATAAAGTGCATACCTAGAGGTACCTGCACATATGTGAAGCAGCCTTCAAGACTACCTCTATGGCCTACTCCCAATTCCATTGTAGTGCGTCTTGGGTCGCGACCTAAGGACCATGGAAAAATATGGGTCCTGAGGTTACACAGGTTGAGAACCACTGGCTTAGAGGCAGCCAGTGGCCATTATAATAATGGGAGTGTGTTTAAATGAATTTGCTTTTTAATGGTTAATCGGGAGCCACAAGCATAGATGTGGAAACACTGCTCAGTGGAATGTTAAATCTGTTTCAATATACATTTCCTGGAACAAGTAAACGGAATGTATAAAAATGAACAGGAGGAAAAGAAACAAGAGGAACAAGAGGAAAGTAGAATAAAATATTCCCGCTTATGCAGCAAATTCAGGTTTCAGCTCTTCACTCACAATTGAATGAAGATCTAAACAGTGCAGACTACTGTGCTACAACTGGCTTATAGGCAAATTGTGTGCTAAACTTATGTCTCATTTACATACTTCACCATCTCCTCTTATGTAACAAGTAAACAGAGAGATGAATGTGGAATAAATGCAAATACACTGCAAACTGTATTACCATCATAAAGTTCTATGATGTGGAAACAATTGTGTGCAGTTTCTACTAGGGATGCACCGAAATGAAATTTTGTGACAGAAACCGAAAACAAAAAAAATTGTCAGGTCGAAATCAAAACCAAAAATTATGTTTTTTTCCAACCTTTGTAACCATTTTGAAATCATTTTTTAATTATTTATTTTATTTCTTTACTGCTGGGAACTCTAGGGAAATATTAGGGGTCTAAACAGACCCCTGATATTTCCCTTTTAAAACAGAAAAAGAGATTGAGGACACAGAGACCTCAATTCCTTTTTCTGCGACCCCTGTTATGAAGGAACAAGAAGCATCTATACTGAGTGTTCCTGTCCATTCATAAATTGTGGCTATAGTGTAAGTTACTAAGTCCACAATCATGAATAAAGGGTAGTGATGTAGATCACTTTCCATTCATTTGTAACTGGGACATTGTAAATAACTGGACATAGTATGCTTACTAACATTCACCGATCAGCTGGATGGTGTTTGTACACCACTCTCCATCCTGAATGGGCTGTCACAGGAGGCGGGGTGGGTGATGGGGGAAGAGAGCTCCACCTCCTGTGGCTGATCACAGCGCTCTGCTCCAATTACCGATCTCCATCCTGACACAGGAGGCAGAACCGGGAGGTGCAGGAGGAGAGCTCCGCTTCCTGTAAGTTGACAGCGGTCACCGCTCAGCATCCTGACTTCTGTCACCGCTGCTAGGCCTCCTGAAAGCTTCTCTCCTCCTCTGCTTCACCAGCTTCTCCATGGCTCATGTAGCCGTAAATGACAGCTGAATTTGTAAGTGATGTAATATGCATCACTTCCTACATTCAGAAACTGGCGGGGAGTTGGTGTACCGATCTCCCTCTGATCTCCGATCACAGAGCCAGAGGGCACACCCACATGCAAAATACAAGCGATAGGGCGTCTCTTGTTAAGGAACGCTTGTATGTAAGCAGCCATCACTTACATAGTAGGCAGTTTTCCCGCTCATGCGTGTGCTGGCGGTGCGCATGGGGGGGGGGTTTGTTGTAGGACGTCTTAAGACGCCCACACACATCTAGAGGGCTCCCGTTTTTGAACGCCCAACCGACGGGAAGCAGTTAACTAAGCTTTTTAAGCTGATCATACACTATTAGATTTTTCTTGTTCAGCTTGCAGGTTGAATTGGCTGCAGTCTCTGGGGAGAATTTGTGCACTGGCTCCTTCAACAAAAATCGTGATTGGCATGGACATCCTCTGTAAGAATTTCAGCCAAAATTCACAAGAATTAGTTACTGGTCTGTGATCTTGCATAGACATGTAATAAATTACTTGAAGTGACTTTTATAGATCTTTAGAACAGGGGTAGGCAAACACTGGCCCTCTATCTGCGGTGAAACTACAGATGCCATGATGCATCTGCCTCTGGTCATGCCTGTGGCTGTCAGAGTCTTGCAGTGCCTAATGGAATTGGTGGTTTTACAGCAGCTAGAAGGCCAGAGAGCTTGCCTACCCCTGCTTTAGAAGATCTAATGCTGTTGTAAGGGAGATGGTTTGTTAAGAAACAGCAATAATTGGCCCTTGGTGAGTAATACATTTAGTAATTCATCTTATTACAACTTTATTTAGTTCATTACAAATGCGTTCCATTGTTGTAGGTGCCGACTTCAGCATTGTTTTGGGTCAACCAGGAATTTTTTTTTTAATTGTTACATACCTGGGAAGACCCAACCACATGACCCATGATGGAGACCAGCTGGCATCATACTCATTCTCGCTGATTGTGCTCATTTCTTCATTTACTTGTGCCTGCTCTTCAAGAACTTCCACCTCCAGGGCTTTCAGTGTGATAACTGCGGAGGCAGCGCTGGCTTTCAACATGGCCACTGCTTCGCTATGGCTCAGATTGGTGAGATCAATGCCATTTATACTCAGTAGAACATCACCTGGTGAGATAACACAAACAGGACACCTCAGACTAATAACTTTGAATACTATATTTGTATATGTGCTTCACACAAAGAGAGCTAACAATATGCATGACGATATACCTTAGTAGATAGTGAGCTGGTCCTTTAGAGGTCAAATAACTACAATTTCCAGATGACAAGATCTGTGCACCTGGGTTTACAGGATTTGCATAATGCAGCAAAAGCAGGGAGACTCTGTGATAGGAGGACAGAGATCTAGTAAAACCAGGGGAAAGAGGGGAGATCTCCCACCTGGATTTCCAAAGAGAAATAAGAAGCCACATCTGATGTACAAATCTTGTGTGGACTTAAAGTGCATGTAAAGGCAAAACCTTTTTGCAGTTTTGGATAGAGTAGGAAAGGGTTAGACCCTTAGCGGCTTAGATTAAAGAAAAAGGGGAAATACTACATTTTAAAGGCATCATGGGAGCAAGATGTGAGGATAAATCGTTTAATGGGAACAAATGTTCTGGTGACAGCTATCTAAGACGAGAGTTAACTGTAATGAATAAATCAAGGCAACTGGACTTTCTATATTTTTCCTGAAGACGTTTTGCAGGTCATCCAACTGACTTTCTCAGTTCAAAAATGTCTCCAAGAAAAATACAGCAAGTCCAGTTGCCTTGATTTATTCTTTACAGATATACCATGACCTGGATGAATGAGAACCTTCATAGACGAAAGAGGAGAGTTCCTCTCACTTTGGGGAGAGTTCCTCTCACTTTGGTGAGATTTCCTCTCACCTCTTGAATCTCTGAGCTAGGAAGTGAAGGGAAGTGAATCTCTCACAGCAAAAAAATAAGATGACAAGGGTTTTTCACCCTTACCTACTCTATCATGAACACACACAAAAAAGTGTGGGCTATGCAAGCACTTTATATGACACATTCTATGCATAGCCCAGGAAAATGTTTATGTGGTTGGTCAATGGTACAGCCATCTGTGTCTGAAGAGATTAAAAACATAATGTTATGATTGAACCGGTTTCATATGTTGCTAATTAAATACAAGCAAGTAATGGAAAACCCACTCTACCAATGATTTGGCAGAGTGGGATCTATTACTGGCTTCATTAAGCAAACCTATCCCTGCAGGGTATTAATTAACTGGTTAAAGTAGTCCACTAACCAATTCACCAAGTGCAGACTACACAGAGAGACCTCCCAAATTTGCATTCTTACTTGTGCAAACCATTTCCTCATCTCAGTACAGTTTGCCCGTGTGGCAAACTATTTTGCAACATGAACTCAGAGAAGTGACTTACTAATTCTCCTCTTTCCCTGCCTTTTAAAACAGCACCATACAAGGAGAGAGAGTCTGAAAAGAACAAAAAGTGAAGACCCCAGCACTCAGAAAATGTCGTTATTAGATCTTGCTGATCGTTTATTAATGTCAAATGTGTAAGAAAAGCCAATGTTTCGGGACCATGCAGGGTCCCTTCATCAGGGCGACATAGTGACCGTCACTATGTCGCCCTGATGAAGGGACCCTGCGTGGCCCCCGAAACGTTGGCTGTTCTGACACGTGACATCAATAAACGATCAGCAAGATCTAATAAAAAATTTTGAGTGCTGGTGACTTCACTTGTTGTTCGGATTTGAGGATAAACGGCGCCATCCGTGTTTGTCACTGCGAGCACCACAATGACTGATGGTTCCAGATGCTGAAAGGAGTGCAGGAGAAACACCTATACATAAGAGTCTGAAAGGAAACAACTTCTGCTATGCACTCTCTTTTTAGAAGTTCTACAGTGCTTTGTATATCCAGTGATATGGGCAGAGCCATCCGTGTTTGTCACTGCGAGCACCACAATGACTGATGGTTCCAGATGCTGAAAGGAGTGCAGGAGAAACACCTATACATAAGAGTCTGAAAGGAAACAACTTCTGCTATGCACTCTCTTTTTAGAAGTTCTACAGTGCTTTGTATATCCAGTGATATACAGCAGCTGATGACGGGAGGAAGAATTCCGCGTCACGTGACGGCCCGCAAGCAGCAGCGGCGCTGTGTGCTAGATGCCGGCTGCTGCTCCGTGTCGTGGTGCTGGCGCTGGTGGCGAGAGCGCACTATACAGAGGTAGGTGATACCATCTACGGGAATCGGCGGTTCAGTCCGGGGGGGG